AGGCCTTTATAGAAAGAAGAAAACACCTCCAATATGCTGGTTGTGGGGATCAAATTACTATCTCTCACAAATTTTATCACATCCTCCCAGAATCTATACCCTGGGACTACTCTCTGTACTCTTACTGAATCTGTAATCCTTAAAAAATAGGTGTTATACAATAGAATGTACTTTTTATTGGGCAATTCTGACACTAACGTTCATTTTCTTCTTTCTGTTTAAAAAATGAGAGAAAGAGAGAGGAAAAGGTGAGCCAGGGAAAACGCAGAGAGAGCCACATGGAGTGGGCATTAAGCCTTTTTTCGCAATTTTAATAAAAGAAACATAAACATGCCTTCCAACGACTTCAACACTCCTTACAAAGGCAAGATCCAAGCAATGAGAGAGGCTCCATGTCTTTACCACTCAGAGATGGCAAAAGAAGAGGACAACCAAGTTACACTTGACAAGGGACAAGATCACTCACTTTTTGAGCCAAAGGGACTAGGACAAAGTAACAGTTTCCCATAGTGACAAGAGCAAATAAGATTATCAAAAACATCTTTTGGTTCCATGCTGAGTCAAATAAAGGGTTTTTTTTGTTTGTTTGTTTTGTTTTGTTTTTGTAGCTTAACTGGGAGCCTACATGCAAACCAGTTCTCTAAGAAAATATATCCCCAAACTCAAATATGTTGACTTAAAATCAACTTTTGATTGATTTGTCATTTAGAGACTAAATTCATTTGCTTTAGATACTTCAACGTAAGAATAAACCGTAGATCCGATGGCTGGGCAAGACTACTGAGTCTTTACTAAAGAAATGGGTATTTTCCCACACAGAGATTCAAAGAGAACTGCATGCATTTGATCATTCAAGGTTGCAATACACAATTTATATACCTTTTGTGGCATTTAGCCTCTCAACTGCACGGGATATATTTTTGCACCAAGCCCTCTGGTTCTGCTCACACCAGTGTTGCCAATAGCACCAGTCCACCGTGGATACCGGGACTAAAGGGCATCTTTCAGAAAGTTTCAAAGAATAGCAGGTAATTTATTTCACACTGAATATTAATTAGGGAAATCAAAGAACAAGCAGCAGGCCTGGGTTAAAAATTCTGCCCTTTAATTCCATGTTGCTTCTAAAGCAGTACCTAGGTATTTGGAGAAGGGAGGTATTCATTTCAATGATGAGGTTTTACTTTGGAATAAGCTGACACACTTTCCAAGAATGGAGAACTAGGCTACAAGCCAAATTCACTAGGTAATTTCCAGGCTTTGGCTGTTTTGAAAAACTCCCTTGAACAGTAATTCCCACCTTTTTCAAATATATTTTTAAAAACAATTTTAGCCCCTTCATAATAGTTGAGCTTTTGGTATCAGATGACTTAGAAAAATACAAAACAATATACATACAAAGCTACTTTGAATTCAGTAATACGTTCTGAAACTGATATTTTACTGATCAAATAGATTGAACAGATGTTATAACACACATATACACATATGTATGTCACGTATAGACAGAACTTGACACGTCCAAAGATTTAGAACTTCTGACAACTACAGACCCTCAGGGGCCTACAGCACCCAGGCTAGAAATCATGTCCCTGAAACAGTTTTTCAAATCCCATCTTCCACGTTCTATGGACATGACAAAACTATTCTCACATATTGTACATTTCAGCACAGTATGTAAAAAACAAATCTTTCAATTAACCACAAAAATAATAAATGTGAAAAAAAAAATCTGATTTAAAACCTTGCTTCACAGCACAGGCAAAACACAAAGTACACCGTGTGAGTTCCCAGGCCACACCTGAACCCTGTCACCTTACCTTCCCGCCCCCCAGCGAAGCCCCAGCCTCTTCTCCAGGGTCGGGGTTAAGGTCAGTAGTCTGGGAGGCTCAGGGCCTTTCTGCTGTGATGATAATCCCTAACCCATGAATCACAAGTGAGTCAAATATAAAAACCATTCCACTTGAAACCAAATTGCCCACACATAAAGCGTTCAGGTATAGGGCCTGAGAGATAGTAGGTGTCAGCAAATTTGGCTATTTTTATAACTGTCACAAGCCAACAACTCATTAAACCCAGATATATACGAAATGCTGGAAGCCACGTGTACTGCTGTAGGTTAACGTGACTATTCCTAAAGATCCTTGGGGTATCTCCCTCCCTCGCTGCTACTGCCACGCCTCCACTTTAAATAAATACATCAGTACTCCTAGAAAATGCACACCAAAAAGACATAATCATGGGAGGGGTATGAAGCTGGAATTGCCGAAGCTTAAGGGACAGTTCCTTCTACAGAGAAGCGTGTGAGGCAAACTGAGTCACACTGCTGGTCAGCACTGCGCTCTGTCCTGGCCAGATCTGTGAATGTTTTATAATTAACATATTATTGCTAAGATCTGGCATTTTAACATTTTGGTATGATTATATTAATGTTAACTATGTTTATCATAGGATGCCATTATATTTATATAATTTGTATAACATACAACTTATAATTTATGTAAGTAGTATATGTTGTATAATACATATAAGGTATTACAATTTGTGTAATTTATATAGTATATAATGTAATTCAATTGTATTAAATATTCTATAAATTACTAAATTATATGATTAGTATAGCATATAAATTATTACACAAATAATGATTAGTATAGTGTTAATATTTTCATAGTTACTTAAAATACTTTATTTTTTTTCCTATGTTTTAAAATGAATTTTATTATGTTTCAGGGACATAAGCTTCCCACCCTCAATGTACCTCTGATTTATAATGTGGGGAAAAAAACGGGAAAACAGGATTCTCCTAAAAAAATATCACCCAAATGGATACTCCAAAATTAGAGTGATACCTGGTAATCCAATGTGTTTGCAAACTTAACAGTCACCATCTGCAAACACCTTTGTTCTAAAATTCAGAGGGGTGAAGGTCAGCTCAGGCAGTAATGTCAGTTTGCCACAGAGCCCAGAGTATGAAATGTCACTCAGGGTCGCTTATGCTCAGAGGAGAAGCTGTCAAATAACAGGGTGTGGCTGCCACGGCCCCGCAGAGGCCAACAGTCACACTCCGGCCTCTCAACGCGAGCACAGACGTTAGCGTCTACACTGTGGTCATGGTCTGAGCAACACACGCAGGAAATAAATGCCTAAATCCTTCAAACCGCTGTCATCTGGTTAAAATAAAATTAAACATCAAAGACTCCAGTCTGATAGTGACATCAAAAATCTTCCCCTCCAGGCAAAGAAACAACTTGTCACATGCACTTAAAAGAGGTTCTGTAAGTTACCATTAGAGAGATGCAGAGAAAGAACAAACCCCTAGGAGAAAAAAATGAACAATTCTTTTGAATTACTGCCTTCCACAGCCTGAAAACATACACTCAACAGGGACTGCTATCCTAAAGAAAAACCCAAGGAAAGAATGTTGTTTGCCCCTACCTCTGCCACATCTTTCTTCTGTTTTACTTGGAAACATGTAACTCAGCTCTACACACTCTTGGTCAGCTTGACCCTCTTGCAAAATCCTAACAACGTAACACGCAAGGCAACCTCTAAGCCCACGTCGCCATCACAAACTCACTATTTCTATTTCAAGGAGGGATAAACTTATCATTATAACAATGCTGGTTGTGACTCCTGCCCATTCGTGGTTTTCCTTCTGTATATGTCAAAACATCGTACCAACATGACCCCATTTACTCAGGGCTTAACAGGAGTGAGATATGAAAGGATTTCAGATCTGTTTTCTTCCTGCACAGGGTCTTGGATAAAAAACTGAGATCATAGTAACCAGCATGGTGAGGGAAAGAAAACAAAATCTTATACCTTCACACGTTTCAAAGCCTCCAGGAGATAAACTCATTTCATTATTTTCACCTTTCAGAAGGACCTATTCCAGCACCAAGGCAGTCAAGAGAAAGGTTATATGAGCCAACAGCGGGGAAGTAGGGAACTAGATCTTGAATGGTTCTGGATGGGTTGTAAGAATAAAAATGTAAGAACGACAATAAAAATAATCGAAGAATCTGGGTTTTGCTATTTTAACTGTGAGCTAGCCTTCTACCCATCCTGGTGTAGAAGAAGAACCAGGAAACATGCACCCTGAGTTCTGTAACGAACCAGCCACGTTGGGCTGTTGGGAAGAATCAATTGAGATAACACACATTAGACGCCCAGCCCAAAAAACTTCATGCCCTCTGGCTTGATTACAAAAATCAGTGCACGTCCCAGCTGGAGGCCTGCTACAAAATATAAGCCAGATGGAATTCAAGGAAACTCCTGACAATTCAAAAACATCACCAGCACTCCTGTCTTTAGCACAGGTAGAATACCGGTTTAAATTAAAGCTGAATTAGCCTGATAAATAAAAATGTAAACAAGGTTAAAATGAATGCTGTATTTATCTGGCCATTTGATGTTATTGTGCCTTTTCTCTCTACCCCCTTTAAAGAGCCAAATCTCTCAAAATTATTATCGATGCTACTTGTCTCTTATTAATTCCTCATCTCCCATTTCATTGCTAGCTAGCTCCAACCTAGCCTGCAACCTCATTACTTTACTGAAGTATCTTCTCACTAAGGTTACCTGAATATTTTTTTAAGTTTCCTCTTATCTGATTCATTAGCAACAATCAACGCTAAAAACCCTTCCCATAATTTTCACCTCTGTCTTCCTCCACACAGCATGCCCTAAGTTTTCTTCTATGCCATTGGTCCTTCTTTATCTCCTCAACAAGTGCATTTTTCCTCTTCAGTGCCCCAAATAATCTGTGGTTCCAGAGACTGGGTGCTGGATCTTCTCTCACTTTATACTCTCCTCTAGCTGATGATGGTCATCCTTATTCAACATTTTCCTAACTCAAGATTTTCAACTGAACTAAATGCAGATGAATCCCAACTTTACATTTCCAGCCTAGAAATCTCTCGTAGGGCCAGTCCCATATACAAAGTGCCTACCTTCTATCTCATCTCAGATACTTCAAACTCACACCAAATGCAGTCATCTTTTTTTGAAATCCAAGCCTGCCCCTCTGCTTAAAATCCTCTGATGGCTTCTCTTGCTTTTAGGATCTGGGCGTAAATTCTCAACGTGCATACAAAGTGCTTGGTCACATGTGCCTGCTTCCTTGTACAGACTCATCCTGCAGTCCGCTCTCCCTGCATTCCAGCCACGTGAGCCTTCCCTTAGTCCCTCCAGTGAAGCATTCTCTCTCCTACCTCAGGGTCTTTGCATGTCTTGTTCCCTCTACCTGATATTCTCTTCCCTCCCATTCTGCCTGCTGAACACCTGTATACCAAGAAAAAAAGAGTCACCTCCAATGGCAATTTTTTCTTTACTTCTGAGTGAATTTAATGAATAATTTATAAAGAGTAAAGGAGAGTGAAAACATTATTAGAAATGTTAACAATAACTTAAATAGCAAACCGATTCTTATTCCCTATTTTCCTAGCTTTCAAGCTACAGATACCCAATATGGGCTACTAACTGCTCATCAAGTGTCTTTAATGAGCTGGAACATACCCACTCTGCACATGTCAATTCCAGGTTTCATCTCTAACAGATTCTAATTAATGCTGGTTCTGCTTGCACTTCTAATATAAAAATGAAGTGTCTTTGAAAATTTTGATGGCTCATAACTTTACTTACAAGAGGATAGCCATCTTCCTCCTAGCTTAATAATCAAAGAACAATTTCACTTGGATTTAGCAAAATCAATGAGAATGACAATCCAATGATTATTTCATTCGTACGTCATATATTCCTTCCAACCACCTTCGTATACACACTTGGCATTTTCCATTTATGAACCACATGAAGTACATGTCTGGCATCAACCATCTTAAAAGATGAAAGAATACTGTCACTTATCCTTTCAGCACAAACAGGATGATCCACGTTTTTCACTGCAAAATGTTGCACAATGAAGTACTTCCTACTGAATGACTAACTGGATAAAAATACTGTATTTCCTTTTTGTCTTTCGAAGTGTGTTATTGACGAATTGATTCCTGAGTTGAGGAGCACTCATCCAGGATGTCTTCATCTGAAGAATCACTTTGAGATTTCACTTATACGACCAACTTCACCATTATCATGGGAGTCTAGAGTGCTTCTGTCTTTTCACATTTATGTTCTGAATCACGCAGTAATTGTGAGATTTTGTCCTCTATCAGTTTTCTTCTCTTTGCGACCATGGGAAAAAACATAAAACTCTGAATTCTCAACTGTGTTGGATTAAAGATTGTTTAAAATTTAGATAAAAGATGATTATCTCCAGATATCTTTTATACCTTCTTGAAAGATGATACAAAACTGTGGGTAATACAATAAGAAAACTTAAGGATTACATAATAATGAGCATTTATTTCACTATTACATCATCCTTACAGATGATTCCAACATTCTTTGCTTTTTTACTTTTTTTTTTTTCTTTAGCATGGCTGGGAGTATTGATGAGCAAGGATGAACTAAGTCCTCAGATGATGAAACAGGAAAACATTTTAAGATACAGAAAAGATCTGTATCTTTATACACAATGTATTTCATAAGTATAAAAGGGTCCAACGGAACCATATGGCAATGGTAAGACAGAATGAGTTGTTTTGTGCCATAAAAGAAATTAGTAAATTTTCTCTTTGTTCCTTGGAAGACCTCTAGGAAAGATAAAATTTATGAACTAGTTAACCCTTAAGAGCAGTTAAGATGTCTCAAATAAGAAATTCCTGGGAAGGTTTTCTGGATCTCCCTAATTAGGTCAAACTTGCCTATTACAGAGTTTCATAACATTTTCTTCTCTTTCCTAACACTAAGCACAATTCTGATTTGACATTTATTAGTCTGATCAGTGTGAGTATTTAATCAATGTCTGCTCTGTCACAAAACTGTAAGGATTAAGAGGACAAGGACTATGATTTCGGTCTCCAGTGTACTCAGTATATGGAATCAAGCATGGCACACAGTAGGTTCTCAGTGTGAAACCTTAGGGAAACAGACACCAATTCAGTTCTGTTTTTATCGCCACATTATGTGAAATGACTGTAGTAATGGGCAGAGACTGTCCATTATTGCTTCATAATTTTTTTCCTACGGGATCATCACATATTTTCATCCATCCCCTTACTGCGTGATCCTTGACAACAGTGAAATAAGTATTTCCAAAGTACCTGAAGGGGTCATTTATTGTTCTTTTTTAATTCTCAAAATCTTGCAAACGGAGTATTACTATTTTCACTTTACAGATGGGAGATTGGGATTTAGAAGGTTAAATAACTTGCCAAAGGTCACGGAACCAATAAATAGGGAGAGAGAGATTTAAATTCATGCCTTATCTGACTCTAACCTTCTATTCTGTCTACTGAAACACACAAGGGAAGCATGTTCTAGTCTTTTTACAACTATCCAGAACATGGAGATTCTTGCTTGCGAAACAGCGGGTATTAAGTAATATTGTCTAAAGAGCTATCATTCAATTAAATCAATATTTAGATTTGGTTTGTCTGCAGGGGGTTTTTGTTTTGTTTTGTTTTGTCTTTGTTTTTCTCGAATAGCTCGCACTCTCCCTGCCTTGCATGTAGAATCTTATTTAAAAGTAGAATATATGCCACACGGGCACTGAGATGCATTTTCATTTTCCCCAGAACACAGAAAGTCAGCCCCAATATATTAATAAGAGCGACGTATTATAGATGTTACACATGTGGCAAGCAAGTTGTACTCAGCAAATTCAGAAAGAAAGTTCCCCAACAGGGGATTTGCCTTTTACCAGCACTCCAAAAATATATTTTCACTGGCTATCAGAATGCTTGTTTCCATAAAACATAATGACTTAAAATAAGCCCAGTGTTTTTAAATCTGTCACACATGTACACATTTACGCACTCTCATAAGAGGCTGTAATGGCTTCCTACTTAGCACTTATTTCATCTCATACATTTGTATTAGAGGCCCAGGTTCCGCCTTTCGAAATGCAACAGCAAATTCATGAGACGACTTCATTGATAGCCATAAAAAGGTTAGAGTGACATTAAACAACTAATAACTGGATGTTGGAGGGAAGTGAGAGTGAAGCAGAAGTTGCAAATTCAACTCCCTCGTCATAATTGCTACCTGTAGGCAAGAATATCCATCACGCCACAGGATGGTTACTACGCACCGAAGAAAACCATCACTCTGGGTGTTGTGTTTACAACCCAGCAACGTCTTCCACCACTGGTCGCAGTGGTGAGGGAGGACATCCAGCATCAGCTGCGGCTGTTTGTTCAACGTACCACTCAAGCCCGAGTCGCGCCTGCCTTCCTCAACAATTAGGAGACCGCTGCCTGGGCCTGCATGGACTGCCACTTGTGTGGCCCAAGGTCCTTGCCTACGTCATTTATGATCTCCCAGTCTCCACACCTATAAAAATGGAGATAACATCATCTACTATTCAAAGCTGTTGTAAGGGTCAGGGGGTTAATCAATGTACAGGAACCGGCAGAATACCCAACACAGCAAGTGTTAGCTACCGCTATAATTTTGAGAGAGAAAAACATGAAGGAATGAGTATGTGGTTCCAACAGAGGTATGCAGTTTAGGGGCGGGACAGAGTAATTATCAAACATCTGATGAATGGCAAAGTGCATAGTGAAGCCAGATCAGTCCTTCCTCTGCTCAAATATCATACTTCCAAGTGCATTCCACGCCACTGAGAGCAAAGCTAAATCTCTCCAAGGCCCGGCATGGTTTGGACCCCCTTCACCTCCACGGTCCACGGCCTTATCTCTTGCTACTCCTCCCCAACTCCCCCTGCACCTGCCATGCTGGCTTTCGGCTCCTCCTCCAACACGAAAGGTGCACCTCTGCTTTACACGGCATTTCCACTGGATCTCCTTCTGTCTGGACTGCTCTATCCCCACACAATTAAACCACACGGCTCAATTCTTTATCTGCTTCCTGGTTTTCTTCCAATTACTCCTCCTGGATAAAGCCCACCCTGATATCCTATTTAAAATGTGATTCTCCCCACCCCACCCCAAATTTGGTGGTCCCAATTCCCCTTACCCTGCTAACCATCCCCCACCCATGGCATCTTCTTACAAAGGTTATATTTATATTTGTTATATTTAGCATCTATTTTCTATTTCCCCCAACGGCACTGTTCACTCTACAAGGACAGGGGGGTTTGTCATATTTTACTGATGCCCCATAAACATATCTTCAATAAATAAAGACTGAATTTTTAAAGACAGTGTCTCTCTCTGTCACCCAGGCTGGAGTGTGGTGGCCAGAACACAGTCCACTGCAGCCTCAAACTCCTGGGCTCAAGCCATCCTCTCCCCTCAGCCTCCCAAGGAGCTTGGACTATAGGTGTGCCATCATACTCTGCTCAGGCTTGAACTTAATATTTTAAATTTCCTTTAAGTTTTTTCTTACTGGTTAGAAAAGGAAAACAACACCCTTGCCCATTTTGACACAGATAAATCAAAAAACAATGAATGAAGCCCTTTATGACTCAAATGATCCAGGAAGCCTCTAACCATCACATGAGATTATGCCCTGTGAATACACTAGCTTGTACATTGAATTTATTTCTACCCATATCTTTCCAAAAAGCATGTGAAGTCATTTCAGTGGTCTAGAATTTCCCTTCAGCAGTATAGGATTTTACCCTCAGATCTACTGGAAGAAACCTAAGGGAACAAGATGATAATCTCACACTTCCGAAAAGTGAAGTATCACGAACAACGCAAACACTTGCTTATGTAAAACAGTATTAACAGTATTAACTTGTCAGACAGGTACTGATGTTTTGGTGATGACCATGGTCACCAAATCTGTGGCTACCCCAAATTCCCAAGATACACTGACCACCCCCTCCAAAGATGAGACAGAAGGTGAGCTCTCTAAGTTATGCATGGAACATCAGCCTTAAAATACATAAATTGTTTAACTGCTCAATTCCTTTGATAGCAAGGCACCCTGCACTAGTAAAAAAAAAAAAATGAGCATTAAAGGATTACCAGGAAGAGTTTAGGTGACAAAGTACACACATATCTTGAGAAAGAAATACTCCTGAAATCAAGACCAGGCCTGCAAAGTTTCTGCAGTATTTTTCTGCCTGCACTAATTTTAGACGATTCTCTGTTCACTGCAGAGTCTATACTATGCCAGGTTTATCCCAACTCAAGCCACAGATTTTTATCTGACTGCGGGCCACATTATCTCATGAATGAACTGTTATTTAGGTCAGCAAAGAGCCTCCTGCCTAATTGAATGTGCATTCTATCCCTGGTGTTCACGCTCTATATATCAAGATTTTAGATAATTATTGGTGGGCAAGGAAGAGACTGGTATGAAGATGCGAAAGAGATTGTCACATTTATACTCTGTTCGAAGCACAACAGGTAAAAAAAACCTGAATAATTTCACATCTTTCATTCTTGAATGACAGGTTTACTTTTAAACAGTATCACCATGGCTTAACCGATATTACCTGCTCAGCTACCACTTCTTCCATAGTGTTAAACACATTTTTCCAAACAAGAAATGCTGTTTGGTTTTAACTTTGAAGCTCAGGGTTCTAGAAATCGAAAAGCTATGAACTATTTGTTTCTTTTATATAACAGGTATACAAAAATAATTCCTTGGAGAAATGGCAAAAGAGCACTATAAGAGGAGCACCAGTGGGACTGGGCTGCTGGAAACAGTGAATTAATCCAAATACAGAATGTTGAGGAGAAACAAAAAAAAATTTTTTTTTGTTTTTAACAAAATCTGAAAGTAAGAGAAAGTGTCAAGCTCTATGAATATATTTGGAAAACCTAGGCCAGATCCAAAACTTAGGTTAAATTTGTTGATAAAATGAGATGACCCTGTTAGTGGTGCATTCAGATGCTGAAAAGACTCAATCTTTTGCAAAAAAAACAAAAAATATAAACTTCAGGAGGAAGGATCAAGTCTCTCCGAGCAGGTATTGGGCAATCATGCCTGATACACAGCAGACCTTAAAATATGTGTTGAACAAACTCATGATTGTAGTTTCTGTAGTTCAAGTGAGTGAATGTAACTACAATGGATGAACACTGTTCTTCAGGAGCCACACAAAATGTATGATATAAAAGGCCCAAATCCTCACCCTCCGCCGTGCAAGAAAAAAACCAAAGATGTTTAGTCTCCACCTTCAGAGAGTCTAACTTAACTGATCAGAGAGGGACCTAGGTATCACTGTTTTTAAAAAATTACTCAGGCGATTCTAATATGTGGACAAAAATGACAACCTCTGTTTAATCAGCAACACAGAGTTCTTAAATCTAAACAACTTTATATCGTTTCTTATCTATACTGACAAGCAAAAAAAAAGTAAATCCTTTTAAAAGTCACCTGTCATACTTGCATAACACTTCAAAAGAATCCGGTATTCAAATTTAAAATCTGTAAGTATATTCTAAGAATACTACTGAGTGAAGAAATGAATTTTTTGTTTATGATGCTTTAATTTAAAATACGATCCCAATTACTCTGAAATAAAAGAGGTTATGCACAGTGCCTAGCACACAGTGGTGTTTTCAAATAAAATTCTATCACTTCAATATTGATGTTTGTGTATTTCTGCGCTGAGATTTTATAGATAAACCCTAAGTGTTGTGGGAGTTTTTTGACATCTGAAATCAGCACCCTCTCTCAATTAATCATCTCAAATCACTTGAGATATCAAATGGGGAGTAAACACTTAACAGGCAGCCTTCCCGTTTATATAGGGTGTGCCCCTAAATACAGGCATACCTCAGCAAAAGTGTCCCTTAGGTTCCAGACCACCACAATAAAAAGCAAATATTAAACTAAAGCACATGAATTTTTTTTTGGTTCCCCAATGCATATAAAAGTTATGGTCACACTATACTATAGTCAATTAAGTGTACCATAGCATTGTACTTTAAAAAATGTGTATAATCTTACTTTAAAAATATTTTATTGCTAAAATATGCTAACCATCATCTGAGACTTCAGGGAGTTGCAATCTTTCTGCTGGCAGAGGGTCTTGCCTCGATGTTGGTGGCTGCTGACTGATCAGGGTGGTGGTTGCCAAAGGTTGGGGTGGCTACGGCAATTTCTTAAAATAAGGGAACGATGAAGTCTGCCGTATCAATTGACTTTTCCTTTCGTGAAAGGTTTCTCTGCAGTGTAAGACATTGTTTGATAGCATTTTACCCACAGTAAAAGTTTTTTGGAAACTGGAGTCAATGCTCTCAAACCCTGCCGCTGTTTTATCAACTAAGTTTACGGAATATTCCAAATCCTTTGTGGTCATTTCAACAGTGTTCATAGTATCTTCACCAGGAGTACATTCCACCTCAAAAAACCGCTTTCTTTGCTCATCCAGAAGAAAGCAACTCCTTATGTGTTCAAGTTTTATCATGAGACTACAGTGATTCAGTCACTGTACACTGTAGAGTGATTCAGTCATCTTCAGGCTCCACTTCTAATTCTAGATCTCTTGCTATTTCCACCACCCCAGCAGTTCCTTTCTCTGCTGAAGTCTGAACCCCTCTCTCTCTAAGTCATCCCTGAGGGTCGGAATCCACTTCTTTCAAACTCCTGATCATACTGATACACTCTGACCTCCTCCTATGAATCATCAATGTTTTTAATGGCATCGAGAATGGTGAATCCTTTCCAGAAGGTTTTCAGTTGACTTTGCCCAGATCCATCAGAGGAAACATGCTCTGCGGCAGCTACAGCCCTTATGAAATGTATTTCTTAAATGAGACTTAAACGCTGAAATTACTCCTTAAGCCACGGGCTGCAGAATGCATGTTGAGTTAGGAGGCGTGAAAACATTAACCACCTTGCACATCTCCATCAGAGTATTTGGGTGACCAGGTACATTGTCAATGAGCAGCAACATTCTAAAAGGAATCTGTTTTTCTGAGCAGGTCTCAATAGTGGGGTTCAAATATTCAGTATCCATGCCGTAAAACAGATGTGCTGTCATTCACGCTTTGTCGTTCCATTTACAGAACACTGGCAGAAAAGATTTAGCATAATTCCTAAGGGCCCTAAGATTTTTAGAATGGTAAATGAGCCTTAGCTTCAGCTTAAAGTCACCGGCAGCATTAGCTCCTAACAAGACAGTCAGCCTGCGCTTTGAAGCCAGGGACTGACTGCTATCTATGAAACTCCCGGATAACATCTTCCAATAGAAGACTGTCATCCTATCGGTCTTGAAAATCTATCGGTTAGTATAGCCATCTTCATCAATGATCTTAGCTAGATCTGCTGGATAACCTGCTGCAACTTCCACATCAGCCCTTGCTGATGTGCAGGACCTTGCACTTTTTTATGTTGTAGTGGTGGCTTCTTTCTTTCAACCCCATGAACCAACCTCTCCTGACTTCACACTTCTCTTCTGCAGCTCCCACACCTCTCAGCCTTCACACAACTGAAAAGAGCGAGGGCCTTGCTACCAATGAAGCTTTGGCTTAAGGGAATGTTGTGGCTCATTTCGTCTATCCAGACCACTCAAACTTTCTCCCATCAGCAAAAAGGCTGGCCCACTTTCTTATCATTCACCTGTTCACTGGAGTAGCACTTTCAATTTCCTTAAAGAATTCTTTTTCCTTTGCATTTACAACTTGGCTACCTGGAGCAAGAGGCCTATCTTGGACATGCCTTTCTCGCTAAGCATAATGTTTCAACTTTTTGATTTACAGTGAGAGACCTAAGACTCTTCCTTTCACTTGAACACCTAGAGATGGCCTAATTTCAATGCTGTTGTTGTGTCTCAAGGAATAGGGAGGCCGGAGGAGAGGGAGAAAGAGAAAGGTTGGGGCCAGTAGGTGTAGCAGTCAGAACATACACAACATTTATGAATCAAGTCCACTGTCTCATATGGGTACAATTTGGGAAGCCTCAAAACAATCACAGTAACATCAAAGATCACTGATTACAGGGTTCTTTAACAGATACAATAATGAAAGAGTCTGAAATGCTATGAAAGTTACCAAAACGTAACACAGCAACACAAAGTGAGCACATGCTGATGGGAAATGGTGCTCACAGACTTGTTAGATGCAGAGTTGCCCCACATCTCCAACTGGTGAAAAAATGTAGTATTTGTGAAGCACAAAAAAACTAAGGGCGATAAAACCAGGTACGCCTGTATTCTACCTCAACATACATCAAAGGATGACAACACCGTACTTGTAAGTGTGGCCAATAAGAGTTCAGGGCAGCAGTGTTGATGCTGTGAAATGCAAGAACATCTAGAACATTAAGAAACCCCACCATATAAAACACTTCCTACACCAAAATTATACTTTTCCTGTAATTAACTATTGTATTGATATAGGTACCTTACTCCTCAGGCAATACAAAATGCCTTTGGATCATGAAGCCACCACAGACTGTCCTGGCACCCAGAGATGTCCTATCTAGGAAGAGTTTTGAGTAAGCATCACTCAGCTTATGGGCTGAATTAAACTGCAAAGTGTATTCATGTTATCTCAGGTGTCAGAATAAAATAAAATCACCAAAGTACCTCTGAGATCGCAGGGCTGTTCAGTGACTTGAGATAAACTAGACTTTGACCATTCAAATGCTGTCACCTCCATTCACAAAGCACTGACAGCATCAACTCAAGAACTTTACTCGATCTTTCTTTTCGTCCTCTTCTACTTTGAGCTTGAGCCTCTAATTTCAAAGATTAGTGTTTCAAATACATGTGTAAATGAAAAGAATCCAAGAAAAAGAACCACGGCCAACTCAACTGCTTTCAAGTATCTACTCTGTGCCAAGCTTCAGCTTCTAGGAGGTTGACACACTAAATCAGATAAACGCCAATAATTTAAATGCAAAGGCTCCATGCCCTCATTCAGACACTTTGTCAGAAGATAGAAATGTGCACATTTCAGGGATTTCATATATCCCACGGACTGAGTGGGGGAGTCCTTCAAGAGTTAAGTTTCCTTAAGTGAAAGCACTAACTCTTACACTCCTACAGTGCCTGAGGCCAAGCTTCCCCCTGGCTGATATAATTCACTGCATTTCCCTTACTCTGCCCTGACAGGTGTTATCTCTGAGTATTCAAGTACTGGGCTACAGGCTTATTGCAGTTGCAAGACCCTTTTCTTTGGACCCTGAGCCTTCTCTTCAAGGTTTAAAATCCTTGATGCAGAGAAACAAGAGCAGTCCCATGGGACATGTTTTCACTATGTCACTGGACTTCTTTAAACAGGCTTAGCCTTAAGAAGGACCTCGCTATGTAAACAAAACACTTACCCTCATTGTGAGAAAAGGGCCCATTTTTCCCTGGGCACCTGTTTAATAAGTGCTTTTAATTTGCTTTCCACCTTTAAAATGGCTCAAAAGTAGTAAAACAGCTCAAACCTCCCCAAACCATTAGACACACTAGAAAGAAACTCCAGCATAGGGTCTCCGCCTTAAAATAGACATTCGATTCCAAGTCAAAAAGTCAGGGATTAAGGAATGGAAGAGATATTTTAGCTGACTCATTGGAATAGCAGCATCACTCGGTGAAGCCATGTTATATTGATACAATGGAAGACACGGTGAAAGGAGAATCAGAATCCCTATATTCCATTGGTGGTTCTGTTAACCAGTGTAGGGCACTGAAGTAATCTTTTAATCTTGTCTGTAGCTTGGCTGTCTCACATATAAAGACAGCAAACAATACCTCACCCAATTCGCTCGCATGGGTTGTTGAAAAATAATGCTTTATACTTCAATACAACACATTAAAACACAGCTCTTAAAGCCAGTAGAAGGGACACAGGAAGTAAATACAGCATAACTCCTTCAGATGAGTCTTTTTCATCAAAGAAACACGCACAAGAGCAGTTACAGCTGCATAAAGTCAACCTATAGGAAGACAATTTGCAGACAGTACCTAAAACATTATTACCTGGCTGAAGCTCGAGCTAAACTGGCTTAGTATTTTATTTATATTCTTTTGCATTACACCTAAATGCTAAAACTCAACTGGAACATGCCAAATTCTCTACTGGCTCCAGAAGATGGAATTTTAACATTAATTTTCTCTTTAGATAATGTATTTCCATTGGGTTGGGAATAAAGTATTTTCATTTTGCTTAGCCGCCTATGTCTTTCCAGGCAATCTAAAATCTAGTCCGAAAAAATAAAAATGAGGAAGAAAAGAAAAATTCCATTGAATTTATAGCATGTGTTGCTAACAGTAAAAAGTAGAATTTCTCTTACTAAATGTAATGGTTCTTTTGTGGTGGACTGCTAGCCAACATCAGAACCCTGTTGGATGCAGTATCTTAAAATGCACCTTTCTGATAATGTGGGTTAAAGGTATGATGCTGGGGTTTGGGGCATCAGGCTGTTAAATGAAAACGTTTTGGGGTTCCTGTATTCCCAAAGTCCTACTGTGACAATCACCATGCCTACATTATACCCTCCCACTTAAAAAGCCAGCTTCAAGCACTTCATCAGGGGAAAAAAGAAGAAAGACAGACTCAGTCTATGCTGAGAGGCTCTGAGCATATCATCAGTGTTTGTATGCAGAAAAGCCAAGCAGTCTCCTTGGATTAACACTTATTCAAATGGCATCCTCCCCCACAAGGCCATGTCTGGGGCTTCTCTGTGTGAGATCCGTGGTGAGAAATTGTTTATCCTGCCATTTACTTGTTTTCCTTTTTTCTCCAGTTCTCTCTATAGATTAACATTAAGCAAAATGAAGATTTCCTCTGGGTGATATATTTCGCAGCATTCAAAACATCACTGTTTTCCTCTGGCCAGGGTTAGGCTCACAGAGCAACAGGACATCGGTGGGGAGGAGCTGTCCCCCCCCTCAACAGGACCCCTGCATCCCTCTGGGTGCATCTTCTTTGGACCCACACTGGCTCATCAGCTCCCTGGCATCTCACCAAAGTCAGGTCCGGGACCTCTTGTTCTTTCAAGGGGCTGCTGCTGCTGCTGCTGCTGGAGATTGATTTTTCATCAGGGCAGACTGCTTCCCTGTTACACAGATGGCACCAGAGCCTCCAGGCACAGGTGCCCGCTAATTGTCCCAGAGAGGGCCCCGCCCCAGCCCTCGGATGCAGACACCATTTGAGAGCTGGTGACTGGACACCTCCCTCCACCGCCTGTTACCCCTCCTCCTCCTCCAGAAGCCTGTCATTGAGTGCCTGGGCTTGGCCCCTGGTTTCCCCCCTCTGGGCCCTCATCTTTCACTGCATAAAATTCCCCTAGTGCTATGACTCCTTTTTTCGGTGTCAGTTTACACAGTTATTTCTAACGCCTGTGCCCTTTGAGACTTTGATTAGAATGCCCAGATCCATCAAATCTGCTTCCAACACTGGCTCTTAGTGTCTCCTCCTCTTCACCTTTTCTAACATTAGTGATCTGCTATTTTAATGAAAATGTATCCTCCAGTCCTGCTTCCCCTTATGTGTTTCATTATGCTTCTATCGAGAAATAAATCAGCACTCTTTGCAAACATTTCATTCTTATTTTTAAAATTTATAAATCCTTGCCTCTCTTCCTAAAGAATTCAAATACCTTCCCTTCTTGCACGAGGGCTCTTTAAAGGTCCAACTATATGTATTCATCCATCTCTTTCTCTGCATCAGTGCATTTTATGGAATTTATGCTTATAATTGCAATTTACATATCTCTTTATCTCATACAGAGACTGTCACAGTATTGAGCTCATACAACTGTAATAAATCATTACCTGATTGATTACAAACTACAGAGCACGTTATTAGCCACCTAGTCCCAGCTATGCATTTTAGAAAAGACATAAGTTACTTACAAAAACATCTAACCATTCATTTCCTAAAAGAGCAACGAATCCCTATTTACAGAATCACCCTACAAATACAGTGCCAAAAGGGCATACTCCAAATGCAGAACGATTTGTATGATTATGAAATGCATTTTAAAGAGTTTTATAGGACTGTGGAAAATACAAGGTAACTTGGTGCACATATACTTCCTTCCTGTAACAAAAATCTCCAGTTGTTTCTGTCAGAGCGTTTATGTACACATGGGTTCAGTATTCTCCATTTTCAATGGACAAACATGCTGAAACCAATTCTGCTAAAAAAACAAAAAAACAAAAAAACAACTCTTTCTAAATGCGTTTCTTGGATTTAGGCCATTGTCACAAAATCACTATTCTTCTGTGTGGCTCCCCTAGCTGCTTTTAAAGCTTTGTTTTCAAATACAAAAGCAGATTTAAGCATTGCT